CAGTTTACCAACAGCATGATTAACATTTGCAGAATTTACCGCTAATGCTGTATCATCTGCATAGCATGCTAGCATTGAGCTGGTGTTTGAGATAGGCTTTCAGAAATCTGATACCTAAAACAGATATAAAATCGCTCAAATGACCGATTTTTGGGGCCGTCCGCTCTGATGGGATTTTATCAGAACATGAGTTACCGAGTGTCACTTGGAAGCTCCGAGAAGTCAGGAATGAGTGAAGGAGAAGAATAATCTTTCTGTTTGAATCATCTCTCTGCCGATGAATTTGTAGATAAGTCTCTCATGACAGACGCGGCGAAAGCTTACGCCACGTCTTAGCATGAGGAGAGCAAAATTTACCTCACAGTGCAAGGCAGCTCCTGCAAACTCAGTTATTCTGACGAGCTGTTAGTTGTCGACAATTCGGGGTAAACATGTGTAGATAAGATTTAATTCTTCAAAGGATGACTCCTCTTTCGAAGATTTTTTTAAGTCCTGGCAAAACACTTATTGGCTTGTGGCTTTCAGGCTTGCGTGGTCTTAATGGTTTAAGAATATTAATGGTCTTATATGGTTTAAGAATCAGTGTAATTTTTGCCTTTATCCGTTGAGATGGAAAGTATGATTTGCAGAGGCATGTGTTGATTAGTGAGATGTATTTGCAAATTTTGGGAAGGTATTTGTTGGGATAACACTATTTGAAATATCATCGATTCCAAGGTCTTTTCGACTTCTAGATGATTAATTCAATAATTTCAGTGGGTGAGGCTAACACAAAGATATTACGAGCCGAATACAGTTATGCATTGAGCCCAAAGTTACTGTTCCTTGGCTAGGTTAGTAGTGAATTGATCTTTCAGGTATTTTTCAGAATTTGTGGCTCTTTCTAAGTTCTAGGCAACGATTTGATTCCCGCTAATGAGAGAACGATTACCGGAGAAAGAAGTTTTAAAGTTCTTCACTATTACCGAGAAAGAGCCTTCTTTAACCTTTCATTCTGTCGTTCTATAATTCTTGCTTATGTGTCCATGGAATGTTTAATTTATTATGGAATTTATTATGGAATGGAAGTTTTAATTTATTTATTCAGTTTATTAATAGCTCTTTTGACAGCTGGATCCCAGGGGAGATGGAATTTCTTACTAAGCCTGTTACGTTTGCTTAATGCATTCCTAATATAAGTATGAAGCTTGAAAATTTGATCGCAAGTATTGGCCCACCAGTGGCCGAGCGGTAAAGTCGCTGGACACTGGTAGTTCGGTCCGAGGTTTGAATCCCGCGAACGGGCTGGCTGCATGGGTGTTTTCGTGGTTTTCCCCATGTGTAACGTGTATACGAGCCAGTTTCCCTTAAAAAGTCCTCCACGAAGGCATCCCACCCCTTAGGCAGATAGCCCTAGTGTGCTTTGCCATAATTAAATACACCAAATTGATCGCAAGTATTGACGTTTTCAGAGGTTTAATTTAGCACACCATGAATGATGTTGGTACGAGTGGCAGTTGACCTTTTAATTTTGGGGGCGTTTTAAATCCTTGAAATTTAGAAGGATTGTCCTTCTGAGATTCTGAAGAGTCTTCAGTTGGTACTAATTTTGTATCACAGGATTTGTGTCTTGGGATATCCAGGACAACTACCACTGGCAAATGATCGGGGCTCAACTAACATACAAGGCAACTGGAAAGGAAGTTGTAAGTAAGATATACAGTATATCAGAGCGCTTAAAATTACTGGCTCTATAAGCATATTCATGCGGCGCATGAATTTCAGTTGGATTGTTCAAAATGTAATTATGCAGCACATGTCCATTAAGTTGCTTTGCCTACAATTCCAGTCCTTGTGTTTGGCGTTGATATGGCCTGCAACTGTAATCGAAAAGTTGTGGGTTAAATTATCGCATCTAGTAATTAGTTAGTTAAACAATTTTTTCGTGCATTGTATATGGCTCTGAAATGGATTTTGCCTCATGTAGGTAGGGAGACGTTTGCAGTAACGGTTTCAAATCTTCGTTGTCTGTTTTCGTTCATAAGAGAGGAGTCGGAATTTTTTTTGACTTACAGTATTACAACCGCGAAAACTGAGTCTGTTACACCGATAAGAACGATAATTGGGCATGCAAAGCCTATTTCTATGAAAGAAGGGAGTTTCAGTGATTTTCCCTATATCTATGTTATGTTCATTAAAGGAGTTTTGCGGTTCCGGCACTTTTCTACGGAGGCCATAGACATTTCAAATCATGATACGAATGGGAGTATAGCTTGTAGTGTAATTATCCATTAACTGAAGATCTGGCACTGCCTTCCTGCATAGTGGAGCTTTTTCACATAATGTGGTTAGGAGGAAAATTCATGAGTCTCGAATTATCGATAAGGTATTTCTCCCGCCTTTTTGGCATGCCTTCGTGGTGTGGTGGTCTGCACGCTGGGCGCGTATTCAGGAGGTCCGCGGTTCGATTCCTGGCGAAAGCGTTTGCTCATTTTTCATCTTTCCTGATTCCAAAAATTGCCTAATGTCTCTACAGTAACGCCCGAACTAAAAGAGTGTTGGATGATGATTCTTCTTACCCAGGATTTGGTGATTGGGTCCCCTAAAAAACCCCAGTCGCCCTTTAAAAGGGGGAGTATATAAGGCATTTCTACCGTCTTCTTGGCATGCCTTCGGGGTGTGGTGGTCTGTACGCTGGGCGCGTTTTCCAGAAGTCCGTGGTTCGATTCCCAGCGAAGGCGTTGCATATTTTTCATCTCTTGCTTCCAATTAACTAATGTCTCTACAATCCACTAAGAAACTTACCAGCACTACTTTGTTTCAGTCAGTATCTCTGGGGAATGTCCATTGGAAAAAGTACTGGCATTAGATTTATTTTTGATGAATCAGCCTGCATAAGGCTTGGCTTTTGGAACTTCTCCTGTCTTAGGAAATTCATCACCTTCCTAAAGTTTGCCACAACTGGAATTAAACCGCATCTGGCTCAGGTCGGGGAGCCAATTCTCTTTGCACTTTTGGTATTGTGAGGAATCATGTCCTTTTCCACCGCGTAGTCAGCGAAGTTGGAGAGGGCAGTAGCTCTGCGTGTGGTAAGGCATCGATAGCACTGCAAGGCCCAGTATTCCTTTGCATGCTTAAACCTTGTTTTTTATTTTGGAATCTGCAAGCAAGAATCTGATATGGTAAATTTCCTTGGAGTCGTCGGTTCTTAACACAGTGACAAGGAATAACGGAAGCTTGGTGTTCTCGCCGCTACTGAGTTTCCTGAGTTGTCTATCTGCCTACATCTCGAACGCATGTTCAAATAGCTTTTTATGTATATCAACAGGCAGGATATAAATAAAATGGCAGACTACGAATTACAATTTTGAGGTTTTTTGCTCTTTGGAAGCGGGTATTGAATATATTTCTTCATCGCGGAGAATTTTCGTCATTTGTTGATAAATGGTTGTATTAAGAATGAGGATTTTGATTCCATCTCGGATATTTGCGGATCGAAAATCCTGATGACTGAAACTCTTTTCGAAAGGTAATTTCCTGAGGGTTATCTTTAGTCTTTAACTGTTGCAGGTGGGAATTTTAGATTCCTGCCTGCAGTTTGTGTCTCCATGAGTCTGGTACCATTCTCTCTTTCTGTTATATGAAGAGCAGGATAGTTGATTGGCTGCTGAGTCATCATTGGTATCCGCGCTGGCAACTCAGGAATTGCAGTTACAGTAAAGGAGGGATTTTGAGTAGAATCGCTGATTCGTTGCTAACTGGTCGTTGGAATCGACGCTGGCAAACAAAGAATCATCGTAAATACACGGGTGGGATTTGGAAGTAATTGTATTGTTTAAATTCAAAGTCGCGGGTGTTCGAGCTTTTACCGTTCCTCTATATCTGGGTTTCTTGGAAATCAATATCGAATCCAACTCGGTTTCGTCATCAGCGCTGTTGAGTTCCAGCTGGATTTCATTTTCGAAATCATCTTCAAAAGAGTCCTGGTTAGCCATTGGTACATTACATTATATTCGTTGGTAGGACTAAGTGGCTTTCAGTGTTTTGATCGGAGTCAGCGTTGATTAGAAGAGCGCTTGCATTCTGTTAGGCTGAGTAAAAATTTTATTCAGTGTCTTTGTAGTTGTATGCAGGCGTACAGTCAAGTTTTGTTGAAAGGCTCGAAAGACCTGTAAAATAATCAATTACTTAGTCCCTTTTCGGAAAAGCTGTCTGTGTTTCTTTGCTTCCAGCTCTAAAATAAGGACGCCGATGAACTCTATAAGGTTTCCAAATATTATGCAAATCCAGAGATCACGCGCAAAATTCAATATCCAGATCAAATCCAGTCGTCATGCCAAGGAATAGAAGCACGGTAAGGCCGTATTACAACCAACAGCCAGGGGTCGTTGAGCCAAACTTTCATGGGCAAATCTGCAGTAAACGAAAAGAACAGCAAAATCACAGTTAAGTTACAAGTGAAGTGACAGAGCACCTTCACGCTCGCTCGGTGTCAGAAGCTGGAATCCACTTTAACGATATTTTTCCGGCTCTTTGTTCAAGTATGGCCTAAGATTAGTTCTGCCAACTTAATGTAATCCAGAGTATTATTTTATTAATTCCCTTCTCTCAAACAATAAGAAACTCCTTCTGACGTCAATCCTACGGCACCATAGCCCCTACCACCTGGTTTACTCATTGATTTTTATAGACTCGAGCTCTCCATCATTAATTTTCTCGCTTTGGTTTTCTGGATTGACTTAGTGCTTGTTTCAACATATCTGGAGTAAATTTTTATTCAAGTGTCACCACCATCCTTATGCTAGCCACAATAATTGTTATCGATTTTACAACAGTTGCTATACATACAAAAGCAGACTGATGTCCTCGGGCCTGTGACAAGTGACCTGGTGATCTAAAGTCATCCTACATATAGTACATTAATGTGCACTAATTTTTTTATTAAAACTGAATACTTTTACTAAAGAAAGTAATGCGTGTTTTTAAAGAAATAATCTTTTTTTTTTTTTTTTTCTTTCCAGTTAATGTCTCCAAATGCTTACGTATCGTAACACTGGATGTTCCTTCCGAAGTCAGTCGAGGGCAGAACGTAGAAATTTCTTGCATTCCTGAAATGAAGAAGGGTAACTTTACAGCTTTACTATGGCACAAGGACGGAAAATTATTTTTCAAATTTTCTCCCGCTTTCTCTCCGAAAGTAGAAATCCTACATGTACCAGGCGTAAAGGTCGATGTGAGTAGTTTATTAAAACCTTTAAAAGTTTTATATAGAATAAAATCTTTATTTGTTCAAGGACCTCGGAAACGTCCTGTAGGTTTTATGATAAGTACAAATAAAGTGGTGCAAAAACATAAGAAAATTTCATTGAATAACATGAGCTCCATTATGTTCTGTGATTTGTTTTCTTATCTCCGGCAGCTCCGGCAAAATTCCTTTTTAAAAAAGATCTTACGTAGTGCTGTTTGACAGTCTCCAAAGAATTGGTTTGTGAATTTAGGGTGTCTGGTGGATATGAGAGGGGGATGATATAAATCATCCCAACCATACTCAATAAGTCTTGATATGAGAGTTAATGAAATGTGAGGCCAAGCAATGCCGGTATGGCTGAAAACACCTAGATGATTCATGTTATACTGTTAGATATATTTATTTACCATTTTGTAGCAGTGGTAAGATAATATTGCCAATGCTCGTGTTGCCGATATCGCAGAAAAGCAGTCACGAATCCATGGTCTCTATAACCCATAAAAACCGTCACAACACAAACTATATCACTTGCCGTAAAATACTAGCGTTTCGCTTTAGGAAATGATTAACACATGCTTCACACACGCGCAGTGTTTTCATAATAAAAGCGTGATAATCTTTGTCGCTTTATGGAGTCTTTGGTATAAAAACATGTCGACTCTAGTTTGAAGACGAAGTAGCGAGTTCTCGCTATGTCTTTAAGAATAAATACTGCGTTTGAAATTTCTTAGAGAATTCTGATCAGACCACCACTTCTCATAAGGGCTTCTTACCTAGCGTTTGGTTTTTCGTTGCCCGGTGCAAGCTCTGCGATTCCTGAATTCCAATGCGCCTCCTCAAATTCAAAAAACTTTTCCCTTAACTCCTTAAATTTAATAGAAGATTTTACTTCTTTTAACGAAATTCTTGCGAATTTCAATTACAAAGAACTGAGCAAAAATTTTATTTTCTTCCAGAGCATTTGGCATAAACAGTAAGGTTGTATAAGTCAGTGAGCTCTCACAGGCAGGCCATTAATGAAATTTCACGAGATTCATGAGATGAATTTTTTTTCAGCCTTGGAGATCTGGACTTCAATCTGTTCTTCTAAAAGATGTAGACCTGAAGAGCGAGGGAATGTACAGCTGCTCTGTAATTTCGACTGAAGGTTTGGTGGAAGCGAAAAAGGAAATGAAAGTGATTGGTGAGCCTTCTGGATTGTACTACTTAATATTTGTTTGATTTGCGACATGCTTTTACTTGTGTATCACGCTCACGCTAAGACTTTTGAGTATTCAGAGTGAAAAAGCTCTTTACTCTTATAGCGCAAAATATATACGGAAAGGTAATAATCTTACTAAGAAATATTCCATTAAAATAATAAACAATATAATAATAAAAATAATATGCATAAACCTGCAAGTATTTATTTATGTATATAGTATAAATTTCTGTAAATATGTGAGACCAATGATACTGCCATAATGTATTTCATTATTTTTATTCAACTTTTGTTGAATTTTAAGGAATAAATTCTGAGTGTATTTTTCTGTAATTGAATTTGTGGCCACGCATTTCACATGAAGTGTTTATATTTTGTATAGACCTGCAGACCCTGTAATTCTGAATCCCACAATGTTTAACACTAGAACGGCGGGAAATCTTACCTACTGGAACGGCGGTAAGGGGTCATTTTGACCCTTCGATGAAAATACTAAAATAACAATGGTCAAATAATTTTAAATGCCATACACTGGCACAAATATGTACTTGATATGCATTTCATAATTTATATTTAATATCACATAATAATTTATTGACTTATTAAAATACTCTAAATGTATCGAGTACATGGCGATCAATTGGATCATACTACATTTACTCAAATAACTCATTAATTTCATATAAGGATTGATTTCAAATAAATGGTTTTACAAATTAAAACTAATGTTAACTAAAATAAAACACAATTTATATAATAATATTTCTTCATGTACTTATTCGGAGGATGATTCACTCTCTAAATCCAGAAATGAGAAATGTTCTCTGATGTTTCAGTTATATATTTGTCTATATTGTAAAGCATTTCGTTTCAATTCTATTTAATGTTTAAAATATTAGAGATTACACATACGTATTAAGAATTAATGCCGTTGATACAAAAATAATTTTTAACAATTTTCCCAGTGCATTTTCCGCACACAAATTTGGAACAAGATGGACAATATTCTTGAGATTTGTTTCCATTGCATCTCTGTCACTTTTTTCTCTTTATATCCATTTTCTTTTCAAATGTGTTTTCTGAAGACTCAGGAAGGATCTTTGGGAGTTTTGAGGCCATATGTACCACTCTTAACTCCTTTCCTAATTTCAGTAGAAAAATCTCTCCTGTTAATGGTGTTTCCTGTTACACTTTTATTAATTATCCAGGCGTTCAAAGTTGCGTGATCCAAAATATTGAAAAAAAGATATGTACAGACCATCGTCTAGAAGCCTATTTAACTGAATATTTTCGGCGCATCTGATCACAAATATCCGCACCATACTTTCTTACGTTGTAAAATGCTATTGAATCCGGCAACTTCTTGAGACTGCTTCAGTTTTTACAGTAGAATATAATGAGCTCAGTAGAAAAACGCTTTTGTTTCTTTTGCCTTGATAAATGGTAAGAGTGATATTATCATGTTCCGCTATTGTCCATGAATAAGGAATACTACGCATATTTTTCAAAGATATAGGAATTTATCTTCTGTTGTACCGATCATAGTTGTACCGATCATTATGCTGATCATAGTTGTATTTTTTGATTTTAGCATTTCTGCTAATTTAATGCTAGTAAAATAGTTATCCGTGGTAATATTCCTCCCCTTTGTTTAGATGTGGTTCCGTTAATTTTATAACAACATTTTCAGACAAATGTAATTGAGGATTTGCTGCTTCATCTTTCCCTAGGTAAGGAAATCCATTCAAGAGGTATTTAGTATCAACGAAGACAGATAACCAAAATTTTATTCCAAATTTGTCAGGTTTATTAGGAATATATTGTGTAAATTTACACCTAGTTTTAGATGGGAATAATTGTTCATCAACTGTAATATTTTGTCGTGGCCGGTAGCACGTTTTGCAGTTTTCAATAAATGGCGGCAGAATTCATATGGACTGAAATACTAATTTGGGATTACCAAGAAAACATTTGTCGTAACTGTTTTTACCTGCAGTAAGTAAGCTGAACTATCAAACGTGAAAATACATTTGTAAAATAAACTATTTCTGAAAAGAAATGTAAGCCTGAAAAACTCTGCATCTACCTTCCTTGCAGTACTTTCTTCAAACGAATAGATAATCGCAAACAAAGGAACAACAACTTATGTAGACATTACAAAGTAGTGACACCACCTAGGTTTTTATACCTCTGGGAGATAGTGGGAATGCAATCGAAAAATCCTTATCAGTGAATGTTTTTCATGGGTTATTTGACAATGCCTCGAGCAGAAAGAGGGATAAAAGTAAATGGGTCAAAATGACCCCCGTCCGCCGTTCTAGGAATACATGTCGATATTTCAAAAACTAATAAACCTAGAATGCTGAAATTTTTTTTACAAATATTTGTTGTCTGTTTAGGAAAAGTCAAAAAATTCCAAACGATCTCTTCCAATAAAACAAAAGTAATCAATGGTCAAAAGTGTTCAGGGGTCAAAATGACCCCTACCGTCGTTCTAGTGTTAAATTGTACAAATAGCTCACCAAAACATATGGTATAGATAAAAACTTTCTTGACGGACCTGGCAGCAGTTTTTGTCACCATGGCCCGTTAGGTAAAGTTTTGGGCCTAAGTGGCTTTGTGCCTGAGGGACTATTGTTTTCGTTTTGCGATTTTGCGCCGAATCACTTTGAATGTCCGTTTCACTTTTCAAACTATTACCAAATATTATCGCCCTGTATTATATTTGAGGAAATTAAATAATGAAGAATATTCATAAATGTAATAAAACAACGGTACCTAGAGCGATCAAATTTTGAGTGACGTAATCCTACAGCAAATATGGGCATCTGGAAGTCCAAATTTGAAATTTAGAATTTGTTTTATTATCGATTTCATATTTTGTAAAAATTTCACGAATTTTGATTAACAAACTGAAGGATTTCAAAGCGAGCAATGGCAACGCTGTACAGAAAAAACATTTTTATCTCCAGCGCGTGAAACTGTGTATCGGAAATTCTAAAGATATGCTCAATTTAATATTATTTTGCGATATTGTTCTTGAACTGAATTTTTATGGTTTAAGCGCGAAGAACATGAAATTTAATAAATAAAAGTAACACACAAAATGTTAAAAAAAACGCCCCTTTGGACGTAATTTAAAATCTGAAACCTTTCAGATTTTTTTTTTTTTCATTATTATTATTTTTTTTTTGATTTAGTAAAATTTGGGAATTTCTTGCCATCTTGGCAGTTTTTGGAAGCTCCTGGGAAACGAGTATGGCTGTAAAAGAAACATAAATCTTTACATCAATTCGTTATAGCGATATGTTTATAGCGAGAATTAGATAGTCACCGACTTTCAAAAGTTAAGGACGTAATGCAAATTAGCAATTTTCGAAAGTGCCGTTGAATTTGAGTGGCTGAAAATTGTTACGGTTGCAGATGGCGCTATACAAATAGTGTATATTAACAGTCAATTATGATTGACTATCGGAACGTTCTAATGAGGTTTAAGACGACAATATTGCGAACAGTTTGAGGAAGTTAATTTAGACGCTTATATGAAGTGATTATAACTTTCCTAGGGTAATTTTTTTATCATATTCGGGTGTCTACGGCTGAAAGAAGACTAATATCAAATAGGTGACAGATGAGAGCGGATCCGGACACCCGGGCGGCTTACTAGGACTATTCGGGTATCGTAAGGAATCCGCAACTGTACAACGCGATAATTATTTGGCGCCTCAGAAGTGCGGCGTCGGGAGCTTAATAGAAACTTTTGTTGGTGCTGTATATTGAAATTTGAACTAATACCAGATAGTAAGCATAGAACGAATAGCACATGGGAAGGAATGTAGGGCTGAAGCAGGACAATCAATTAAAGATGTCATTGTTTTGTTTGGCGTTAGTCATTTGGTAATTTTCTGAAATGGAAACAATTCTAAATAAGTCAAACAATTATCTAGAGACCCCGTGGCCGGTCAACTAAGTATTAACACCCCTTCTGAAGACTCTGAAGAGAAATATATTGCTACAGTAGCCAAGCGGAATCGACAGGTGGCTTTCACAACTCTTACATACATGTATCCAACGTTACTTGGTAGAACAATACCTACCAGGACTATGCGAAAGCTTCATATGAAGGTATTGTACCCTTGAGTACCAAGTGTTTATGTTCGACTAACTGCTCAATCCAAAAGGGCAAGATTAAAGTGATGTCATCAACATTTCAATTTAACTGTTTCAGACAGACGCAACGTGTTTTCAAGGACGGGTGTAGATTTGCCCTCGAATGAGAGGATAATTGTGTTAGTGTATGTAGAGGACGAAGCACACAGAATCAGGCTGAGAACATCACACATTCAGAGATGGCAGCATCACGGTGCGGGCTAGAATTTCAATAGGATAAAGCAATCAGCTGCACATCTGGAAAAACGATTTTGAAGTGAGTGCGTGGTATTGAGATGATGTTCTATACCTCATTTTCAGACTTTACCCTGCAGAAATTGGTTATGATTTCCTCTTTATGTAGGATAAAACTCGTCTCTTTCGAACCAACATCGTCGAAGAGTATCTGGAAAGAGAAGGAATTCTACATAAGGAGTGATGTCATATTTCCCCTACCTTTAATCCCATTGAAGACTTTTTTGGATGCTCTCGCTCTGCTGCCTCCGCCATATTTACCTCCTCCAATCAAGGCAGTTAGAAACTGTCTTAATGGAAGAATGGACATTGGTAGTATTTGTGACGGTTGATCACCTCACTGAAAGCATGAACAAACGTTGTATGAAATTCCGAAGGGGATCACATATGTTATTAATGAAATTTGTTTTGTTTGTTTTAGATTCAAGCGCCAATTTGTTATTGATCCAAATATGACTTCATCATATAATTTACGAAGATTAAGTGTACATTTATCTTTATTTATAATGTTCGTTTTCTTTTAAGCATAAATACATTTGCTATCTTCATGTGAAATTTGATATTAATCAAAGGTTTATCTTTCCTTTTTGTTGATTTTATTCGTCGCTTGCTTAAACTTTGTAGCGATTTCTCACCATCTGCTAGAAATCGAGCTTTCAATCTGTGGAAATTCGATATTATCTTAAGCAAATGTGGTAGAAGATTTATTCCCTGGTCAAGACAGTCAAAGGGATACTTCTTCTTTATCTTTAGAAGCCGCATCATAGATAATACCTAATTTAAGTGGACCTTTCTTCTCTAACAATTGCATAATTATGAAGATAATAACTCGATTACCCGGTACTTACAGCTGTCATTCTTCAATAACCCCTTCCTTCGTCATAGCAGTAATTTTCGTGGACGGTATCTTAATTTATTTCCCAGCTTAATAAGCCTAAATTTAGCAATTTCACAATTATTACCTTATAAGGTATAATTGTAAGGTTGCTATTATTACCTTATAAGGAATTTCTCCCACCTTCTTGGCATGCCTTCGTGGTGTAGTGGTCTGCACGCTGGGTGTGTATTCCAGATGTCCGTGGCTTGATTCCCGGCGAAGGCGTTGCAAATTTTTCATCTCTCCGGTCTCGAAATAACCTAATGTCTCTACAACCTATATTCTGATGACCTTTTTGCCACAGACGTTTTGTTTCGTATCTTCTATGATTATGCACCGTATTACTTTCGAACAATGCATAGTATCCTCACAGTATTGTTTACTTTGAATTTCAGGTTTAATTCCTATCGGTTCTAACTCCCATAAGGCTTTTAATTTCTCAAAAATATATTCTCTTTCGATTACACATGCCATTATTTACATATACCGTTGAAGAGCGTGGCTCAAATAAAGTTATTCCTTGAACTACGAATTTGAAAATGTTATCAATAGCGATTAATTTTCTGCTTAATCTTACTGATTTAGCATACATTATCATAAATTCTAGCACAAATAATCGACTCTTATTAAAATATCAGGATCTGTATGAGTTTCAATATCTGGCAATTCAAACCCTTCGGCGAGTGCTACTTGTTTAAACAATTTAGTTCGAATTGCTATTTGTCCATTTGTGATTTTATTTATAAAAATGGCCTCAACTGTAATGTACAACGCCGGATTAAATCTGTTGTATAGATTCAAACGAATTACGTCGCAGTCCGAAGGAGATGCACTCTCACCCTTAAATCAACATTGCTATGTGCGTACGAATTTGTAATGAAATGAATGCACACAGAACCATGATAACTTGAGGAAAAATATTTTCCTGAAAGAAACACTTTACAGCTCTGGGACTTTTCAGGAAAGTACTCGTACAGCTCTTCTCAGTATGACAGAGCGTTTTCTGCATCTATGTATAACCCTTGTTTCGTTTTGCTGCTCATTGTTAAAACGGAATTCATTCTTCTTCTCTATTGTATTATAATTATTACCTTGTTCAGTTCTATTATCATAATTGCTTCATTCAATAGAGTAAGCAATATTAATAGCACCTTCAATGCATTGTTTAATAGTGCTTTGTGAAGTTAGCTTGAAAGTGGTATAATATATGATAAGTATTCTAAATGTTAAGTCATATATCTGGAATGCCGTGTCATGTATCTTAGATTGTAACAATGTAACTGTGCTTGTCAAGTCCTAAACGTAGAACCAGTAATCTCTTTCTAAACATAGAACTATTAGTGATCTCACTTAGTCGACGATTAGCACAAGACTGTGTAGCCTTGAGGACTTATGCATCGCTTTAACTAGCCTTGTGATTTTTTTTTAACATGTGTTTGTAGGAGTCTGTTCTGCCGGCTCTCATGTGGAAGGGGTGCAGCAGCATTAGATGGCTTCTGCAAGGAGGACAATAATGTTGTGAGGCAAATTTTATAGCCGTAGGGTCAGCAGTCCTCTTCTGCAACGTAAAAGTATGACAGAGCACACTCAGCAGTTACCACTGTCTCACGCTCCTAAGAACGTTAAATACAAGACAATATACAAAGCCTCAATGCGTAAGCTCGCAGAGTAATCTTTCAATACTCTAATACCCTCAGTTAAACTCTGATTGCAAAACTGAATTTAAATGAGAACTGATGTTCAATCTGGTCTTATACAGACTGCCCTCCGAGAAAATTCCAGTACGTTCGATTTCTGGAAACTGCTCGAAGGCATATGCAGTTACAATTACATATAGGGTTGGGTACAGTTGCAGTTACATAGAGATATCAGACCAAAATGTGGCCAAATGTTCGTCGAGTTTGTCGACTTTTGGCGATTTCTCGTCAAATTTGGCGACCAAAATTAATTGCCAAAAATCATTGCCAGTTTGGTACTATCTCGCCTATGCCATTTACTCCATGTTAAATGGACGTGCCCCTGTAACCTTATTTTTCTGGTAAAGATTCACTCTCTTGAGGCCAGTCATACTGCATCATATATGAGATACTAAAATTTTACATATAATTTCAAAATTTTATTCAAATATCCAATTAAATACTATATTTCGTCAAAATCCAAATATCAATGCAGAAAAGAACTCGAGGGTGCAAAATGAACTAGCAGCTAAATTTCTTCCCCTTGCTCTTCCATACGGATAAAATTGGATTTTTGTACTTTTAATTGTATTGTGTACTCTCTTAGATCTAAATATCTTTTTTAGCTTTCCCGAAAAAGGCACCCAAAATTACAGGAAGCCGAACAGAGTACCGTGTTGGAGATGTTCTTGAAGTTAACTGCAAATCAAGCCACTCAAAGCCAGCTGAAGCTCTGCAATGGTACATAAATGACCATGAGGTAAATGTCTCTATGCTGCTTTCAAAATTCCTTCACTCGAGGTTGAGATAGTTAATGAAGCGATATCATCAATATAAATGGTATGGTTATGATGGTCGCACATTTAGTTAGTTCACAGAACTATCAGAAAGTTATAACTACAGTAAGATCCCGCTTAACGTGGGGGATGCGTTCCATCAAAGTAGAGCGTAATGCGAAACAGCGCTAAACGAGGCTATCTTAACATGTAAATAATGGGGTTAGAGGAAGATATATAGAAAATTGGTTAGGTATTAAATTTAATATTTTTTTAATAAAAATAAAACCAAACATTTATTTTTACAAAAATAAAAACAGTATAAAGGAATATACTTAAAAACAAATAAAATTCTCAGTCAGATCATTCAGTCTATTCTGTGTTTCCAATTTTCTGCCTTTTTATCAAGAAGGCATCTAATGTAGTTTGCGTTTTCCTTTTGCACTCTGTTAGAAGTTGTTGATAAGTGGATAAAGTATCTATAACACCCCGTCTTGCTTTTGAACTCCTGCCAAAATTTAGATCATTTTCAACAAATTGGTGCATAATTTCAGTTATAGTGGTCAAACTCTTTTTTAAAACGTCATCGAAAGTTCTTTTTGCTCTTCTTCGAAATCACCACTATCAATATTTTTGTTTTCTTCTTGCTCAGTTAATTCCTTGAGCTCATCATTAAAAAGAGTAGCTGCTGTTTCTTGAACTATTTCTTCGACGTCTTCCACATTTACCTCATCTAAACCGGCTTGTTTTGCTAATTTCACTATTTCTTCCACTATTTCATCCATATCGACAGAGTGTCCAATGTCTTCGCTCTTACTTAAATTTGGCCAAATGTTCTTCCAAACTCTTTTCAAAGATCTTTCTGTTATCTCATGTTTATGTTTTCTACAGCATTCATGATATTGTATTTTTTCCAAAATTCTCTTATTGATTGCTTCTCTTCTCCGTCTGTTTTTTCAAACATCTGCTTAAATGTTCGCCGCAAGTAATAAGCCTTAAAATTGGATATAACGCCTTGGTCCATTGGTTGGATTAAGGCAGTTGTGTTAGGCGGCAAGAAAACCACTTTGACTGGAATGCATGTTGTTAAGTCTGATAAATTTGTTGGGTGGCTTGGAGCATTATAAATTAATGGTTGTGCTCTTTGTTCAAGTTTTTTTGCAGTAACATTTAACAGACGGGCAGAAATGTTCAGTGAACCAATCCTAGAAAGCTTTCATAGTTATCCATGATTTTTTTATTAGACTCCCAAATTACAGGTAAAGTTGATTTAGATATGCCTTTAATTGCTCTTGGGTTTTTGGAGTGGTAAACTAGTGAGTGAGTGAGCGCCACCAAGGAAGACCACTGACCTGGCCTTAGCCTCACAGTGTGTTATCTTCCTGGCAGAAACCATCTACTCTCTGCTCCATCCTGCTCCGGGAACGCAGCCGAATAGACGGCTAAGAGCCTCATAAAGTCTACATATAAGCTTGGATGTTGTTGTACGGGGAAAGAGTATCCTGTTAGGAACTACTTAAAATTAAGCAAAGAAGCAATCAAAAGACTGTTAAGAATCGCTGTTAGAATAGACAGAAACTTGTGTTAGATAAAGTAAAGATAGGAGGACTCTGCCTGAAAAATTAACTGCCGTGGATTTTCTGGACTTGCTAAATGTCTACATGCGGGTGCTTATCCTGACACAACTGTCATATCTTTATGGGGCTTCTGTGAAATCGTTGGTCCTGCATGGAGGGAAGTTGTAACCTATTAAATTATTGCACATAGTAAACTTTAAAAAAAATAAATAAAAAAAAATTAAAATAAAAAAAAAATAAATAAGAGAGAGATTAAAAGATGATTAAAAAAATCCTAGCGCCCAAACATAATTTTAACGCAGTTTACTTTCCATGTGCCTGACTCTTATGTAAGAACATTTAAAAGAATGGGTACCTGTTATCACTAAGATAACAAATTCCTGCATAATTTAGTTCTTTGCGCATACTTAAACTGTAGTTGTTTTACAAATTGAACCATTCACCTACATTTTCTTTCGTAGTACTTGCAGACAGGATAATACATACATAAGTACAAAACTGAATATTAAAGTGAAAAACTAACATGATACTGAGTACAGAAATACAGAAAGCTGATCCCTAATGCCTGCATACATAACACTTAAAAATGCATACATAATACATGAAAACTAAAAATAAAACTGATAAGCATAATACATAAAACTGATCATTAAGTACTGCTATGTAGTCTAAATCCTAGCCAAGTACGAACTGACCTTCATAGTACATGCAGAGAAGGAATAAATACAGACTTGAGTACTTTAAAGTGAACATAAACAGAAAAGTACAGCACCATACTCAGTAAAACTGATATCTGATTCCAAACACTTGAATACATAATGCTGATACATAATTACAAAGAGAAACTTACCTACATTAATTCCATAGTTAGTTTTATCACCTTAGAACATGCACATAATTTATACAAAACATAATTAAGCACGTAATGCTGATCACTAGGGAAGAGATTCAAACATGCAATTGATCACATAAATACAGATATTTCTTCCCTAAAATTTACATAAAAAGTTGAATATTTATTAAAATTAAGAAGGCAAAAATGCCATACCAATAATAATATCATTCATAAACTTGAGGTGATAACATAAGTTGACCTTGCCCTTCTTGAACCTATTTATCACAAACTTGTAATTTAAATACACGATTAGTAAGTGTAGGAAAAACTCATTGCTGTTGAAGATTTTACTGGCACGATCTGGTCTTGCGAGTCCTAGACCTGTACATTAATTGCAAAAGTAAACATTTTAAAGAATATAGGCAGGTTGTTGCCATAGTCCTAATTATCTAAGTTAGTCTTGGGTTGAGAGGTTCGAGGTTGTGCCCAGATTGATTTAGTGTGATTTATACATTTTATGATTCAGAGCGCTAAGCAATTGATTATTTTATTTCTATTTGGGGACACTTATCGTCGTATTAGAGAATACTTTCTCTGACAATGGCTGATTATCCGCTTGTAGCTTTTTATTTGCTGTTTTGTTTGTTCTCATATTTGCCGCCCATTGTGGCCAGTAAGCTTGACTTGGCTTTCTTATATGGTACTGTGCCGTGTTTGTGCAGTGGAAGACGTAGTGGTCTGGATCCCCCACCTCTCCACATTGACATCTTTCTGTGTCACTCAGGCTGAATCTATGCAGATAGGTCAGGAATGGGCCATGACCTGTATAAAACTGTGTCTGACTACCACTATTGCAGTTTAACTCTAGCGTTGTTTTTGGGAAGAACATATACGTTCTCCTTCCTGTATCTGCTGTGTCCCATCTGGCTTGCCATCTGTCTATCAGTTGTTTTAGAGTGATCTTTTTGAGATGAGACCTAGGTAATTTATCTGGCAGTTCTGTTCTTGAGACCTCCTTTGCCGCTTCTTTTGCCAGGGTGTCTGCTTCCTCATTGCCTTTAATGCCCACGTGAGCCGGAACCCACGTGAGGCATGGCCTTTCTGATGGTAGAAGACTGAGGAGGATTTTTCTAAGTTCTTGGACATACTGGCTTCTGCTTTTGTAACCTTTGATTGCGTCAAGGCTAGAGGCAGAATCACTGTAAATAGTAATGTGGATAAGTCTGTTCCTCTTCACATAATTAATTGCTGCTTTAAGTGCTGCCAGCTCAGCTTGGAATACTGAGTTCCTACTGCCAAGTCTTCTTTTCCATTTATACACAGCTGTATTACCTTTTAGAACGCAGAAGGCACTGCCAGTACCCGTCTCGGTTTTTGAGCCATCTGTAAATATAGCTGTGTGGTTATCTTTTGGTGTCACATAGTGGCCTAGAATACACTTTTTTTAGATGTGTTTCAGCCGGATGTCCTTGCGTCACTGGCTTGTGTTTTTCAAAGTCTTCAGCAAAGTGGTGTTGTTCCCATAGAACTCCATCCTCACCTAGCCTTAACACTCTTGCAATTAACGACTCCCTTTCCGCTTGCAGGTCTAGCGGAGGAATTCCTGCTAGAACCTGCAGAGCTGTCGTTGAAGTAGTTCTGTAGCCCTTGCAGATGAGCAAGAGTTGCAGCCTTTGCATGGACAGGAAGTAATCTACGCATGCTTACGTTGAGTGTATTTCCCCAGATCGCTACGCCGTAGAGAACAATTCTTTCTGTTATTGCTTGGTACCACCTCTTAAGCACCCATGGTGGTGCTCCCCACTGCAGTCCTGTTGTGCGTAGCATTGTGTTTGTGAGTGCGATACATCTTTTCCTGAGTTCTTTTAAGTGGGGAATCCAAGAGAGATTATTGTTGAGGATAAATCCTAGGTATTTTATGTTTGAAGAGCATTTTATTGAGCTACCGTTGAGTCTAATGGTAGGATTTCTTTTCATTACTCTTTTACGCCCTATAAATAGCATGGTAGTTTTTTCTGCTGAGATCGTAAGTTTATGTGTTTGTGCCCACTCTAAGAACCTATTTAGTGCATTTTGTGTAATTTTCTCGATATTCTTTCTTCCCGAAGTTACTAGAAGGAAATCATCCGCAAAAGCTTGCAGATGTATTTCGCTCTCCATCTCAAAAATTTGGAACGCTGAATTAGCTACTAGGTTCCACAGGGTTGGCCCTAGACAGGAACCCTGTGGACAGCCTTTCTCCAGTTTATGCTGGATTATTCCATCGTTTGTAGTTACTTGAACTTGTCTGTCTTCAAGGTAGCTCCTTATCAACTTTAAGATCTGAATTGGGCAGTTGATTGAATCTAATTCTTTTGTTACATCAGGCCACCAGACATTATCGAAGGCTCCCTTTATGTCAATAGATATTACTATTGAGTGATTGTCTTCCTCTCTGTTCTTTTTCAGCACTTTCAGGAGATCTGCTACTGCCTGTTCCGTAGATATTCCTTCACGGAAGCCATACTGTTTTTTTATTAATTACTGAACTTTTATTCAGGAAATAATTTAGCCTCATTAGAATGATTTTTTCTAGAACTTTGCTAATTGTGGGAAGGAGACTTACCGGGCGGTAGGAGGTCGGATCCGAGGGATCTTTCCCCTTTTTGTGAAACAGAGCGATCTCTGCCAGCTTCATATCTTTCGGAAAGTGTCCTACTTTCCAGCATGCTTTGCAGACTGAGTGGATCAGCTCTGGAAACTCATTATGCAATGCCTTGAGTATTATATTGTCTAGGCCATCCGGCCCCGGTGCCTTTTTCCTTGCCAAACCATTTATGATTAAGGTCTACCTCCTCTATTGTTGGTGGGAGAGATAGTCTCCATTTTTGGAAGACCAGAATTTTTCCTGAAATTGCGTCCTTATTAATGTATGCGTTTCTGAGTCATTGGCGGGATCATCTGAAGGAAAAACCGTTTTCAGTATTACCGAAAGAATATTTCTTGTATTTGGTGCGTCAGGGGCCACATTCGCAGTCAATTGAGTCGGTCTAAAGACCTTACCTGCGGCGATTTTTTGTATTTTCCCAAAAATTTCCGGTATTCTACTACAGTGTTCCTGCCAGGAGTCGGATTTGGCCTTTATTATCTGTAGTTTGTATTGCGCAAGTGCCTTCTTGTACGTCTGCATTTTTTGGTCCCTTTGTATGGAATCTGTTTCTGACTGTGCCAGTCTTCTGAGCGCCCGAACTCTGCTTCTGTTTGCCGTTAGTTTGTCATTCCACCAGGAAAGTTCTTTCTTCTGGCTGGGTGTTTTTTTCTTATACGTTTATTTTGCTGCACTTGTTAGAGTTCCAGTTAAATGCCTGTAGGCATCATCCAGTCCGTCTATGGTGTTGCTTGCTTGGAAGTTGAAAATCAATTGACCTACATAAGGACGAAGCAGATTAAGGAACTTCTGATGTCCTCCATAAGCTGTCTTGAACCTCTGTTTCAGAGTATAAGTTAACTGAGCGCCCATTAGATAGCTGATTATTCTGTGGTCGCTCAGAGAGGGAATGTCCATAACATGCCATTCCGACATTTGATTTGCTAATTGGGAAGAAACCATGGTTAAATCCGGCCAACCTTCCGCCCTTATAGTGCGAAAGGTGGGCGGTGAGTCTGACGTGTTTATGATGCTTAATCTGTTTGTCATTGCATATTCTAAAACCATTTTGCCTCTTACGTTTTCCACTCGCGCCCCCCATAAGGGACTTGAAGCATTGAAATCACCTGCTAATAAGATTTGGTTGTTCCCTTTTCTGACGACAGTGCTGATTTCTATTAATAGTGGATCTAATTCCTCACTTGGTGGAAAGTACACATTAGTAATTTGAAGGTGTCCCGTAGTTGTCTCTAGTTTAATGGTAACTGAGTGTTGCGTCTGAGATGTAAGGAGGGGAGATAGCGGACCATTATAAATTATGACAGCCTGTTGAGAGGTTGACTGGAACGTCTTGCTTGTGGGTGGAATTCCTGGCAGATGACTATGTGCTAAGTACGGCTCTTGTATGAGGGCGATATCCGCATTTTCCTTTGTCATAATATCCATGAAGTTAAGTGTTGCAGATCTAGCTCTCTGCAGGTTTGCTTGGAGAAACCTGAGTCCTGTGACTTGTTGGCGGAATTGGTTACTGCCTACATCCGTTGTTGCTGTGTTTTGCTGCCTCGTTGCAGTTCCTGTCGGTACACAGGGACATTTTGAAGAACTTGCCGGATGACTTGCGTCAAAGTCTGTGCTATTATGCGTATTGGAGTGAACACAATTCGCACAATTTTCCTCTTCTGCCGTACACTCTTGTGTTAAATGACCTTTTCCGCACTTAGTACAGGCTGGTGGGAATCTGCAGTTTTTACTTAGGTGGCCAAAGGTTTGGCAGTTGTAGCAGCGGGTTATTTTTACGTATTCTCTAAACGGACACGAAGTAAATCCAATATAAACCCGCTTGTGGTCGAGAAGCCTGTCTTTGAAATCTGCTGTCACTTCCAGTATCCAATTACAGGTAGTTTCGTCCCTAGGTCTCGGGCCTTTTGGAAAGATAACTGGCGACCGCGTTTCTGGCAAAAGATCTTCAAATGCTGCTTTTATTTCGTCTGCCGTTATGTCACAGGGTACCCCAAATACTATAAGAGAGCTCCTAAACGGACGGGGAATCCTTAGTTCTAAGTGCTCTGTCAGCACGCTAGGACTCTTCAATTACTTTTTTAAGTTTGTGCAGGTGTGTGGCTTCTTTGCACCTAATCAAGAGTTCTTTAGATCTCGTGGCCCTCACTTGCTGTATGTTGATGCCAAGCTTATGAGGTTTGATGTTGTTTAGAACTTGCGCTTTCACACTATCTGGCGTGCGCTCTGAATCTTTCCCCTTGATAAGTAAAACGTGCTCAGAAGGCTTTTGCTTGGGAATGGCTGTTGCTTGTATGGAAGGGGGCTTCTTTTTCTGAATCTTACCGGCCACAGTTGCGTAACTCCGGCGGTCTTGTTGTCCTGTAGGATGGTTTTCCTGTAGCTCCGGGACCTTAAAACTGTGCTGCTCTCTTGCTTGAGAGAAGAGACTGGCATTAAGTTGTCGTTCTAGTTGAAGTATTTGTCCCTCCTGTCGTGCAATTAAGATTTCCTGATTAGAAGCTATAGCCAGTATTTCTGTGATATAATTGGACACCGCTTCGTGGTCTGCGATTTTTAGTTTAGAACGGCCTCTGTACTCTGCTAAAAGTGACTTGATGTGCAGAGTCAAAGTGTTAATCCTATCTAATCTGGAAGATGGATGGTCTAATCTCACTGGGCTCACACACCTCGAGCTGGTAGTCCTAATTGATCTAGTTGGGGAGGTTTCTCTTGACCCCATTTAACATGAAATAGTAATATTAACTTAAGAATAAAATACTAAGTGAGTCTCTCAACCTGTTAAATTTCTAATCCTAGCACAGAGTGCTCACTCGTTCGATAAAGAGTAATATTAGCTTAAAAATAAAAAACTCAGAGGATCTCTCAACCTGTTAAAGTTCTAATCCTTGCACAGAGTGCTCACTCGTTCGATGAAGAAAGTCGGAGGAACACAAAGCAAATGTAAGAACAGTATATAGCACTGAAGTTACTGGTATTTTTTAGGTGAGAAAAACTTCATATGCTTGCAAGAACTAGCGCTAATGGCAGGAAGATGAATACTAATAACGAAGAGGGGGAAAAAACCGTCCGCAGCGCACTATAACATTACAAAATTGGAATAACAAATAGCAACAAACAACAAACAATACATATAATAAGCAACATACAATAAGCAAATTACTACTACAGGTAAACAATAAAATTGTAGTAAAAAAAAAAAAAAAAAAAATTAAACAAATTAGTAGACAGTTAATCACGATAAATTCAAAACCAATTGATATTATGCATTCATTAATATATAGTATATATTAACAATAATGAAAATAATAAAAATATTATTAGTTGTTATAATAAGCAAAGTAAAATTATATAAGATAAATTATTGCACATTAATTAAGAATCATTAAGATAAATTAATGCACTCTTGATAAAACCAATATTAGATTAATAAGTCAGCAGAATTTTAACAGTACCTACTATTACAGAAAGATTTATAACAACGCTGAGGATTAGATAATTGCGTTAGAATGTTTGTTTGTTATTAGAGTCTGCATTTAGAATAAATAAATTCACGTTGTGAACTGAACTACTTGAATACTTCAGGGTAATTAAATTCAGAAAAGTCTACCTTTTGCAGTCCTCCCTTGAATGTGTATAATCCAGACAGTACCAATACAAGTTGGGTAGTTATCTCACATCTAGGAAATGCCGTTATCCTTTCCGCTGAAACTTGAATCCTCTCAAGGTCGAGAATATGAGGGGATTTTTAACGATTCTCAACAGACCCCCAACTTCTGCAAGCACAAAAGAGGCGAGGGGTGAAAACGTTCTTTACAGGGGTCGTATACTTTCTGCAGAGACTTGCCTAAGTAAAGTTTAAATTAAAATGAATAATTAAAATCCTGAAAGCCGTACAGGAACAAAACCTTTATCAGCAAGATCTTCGTTGATCACTGCACATTTGAATATGACTTTCATAAAGAATTTCACTGAAGAAGCACTTGAAATAGATGCAAAACTGCAGGCATGCTTCCTATAGCTGTCAGTTACTCGTAAGACGTGATAAATTCAATCAATTGTTAATTATTTATAAACGATGTATATTATCGTCTTAAAATTTACACCTCCGTATTCTTGATAAAGTACTGCAACTACTGATACATGATTCGATGTTCAAGTATCGATGTTTCCGCCTTTATTTAGTAGAAACGTGAGAGCTCAAAAAAATGTGACGCTCCCGCCTTGAGACTCCGAAGGTTCTTTGCGAGAGAAGATGCTTTGGACCGCACATGGGCTTGGTAAGTTTCCGACGAGTTCGGTTACTGCATCTGATTCTCGCGGCTTTCATATGGAGATCAGTACCGTCCACCAAAACATCTTGAACGACACGTTATGTAGTGCAGGTGCTTGTTGGGGTGGAATTATTCTGGGTTCCAGAACTGACCTGCATGTTCAAATTGGAACCATGACAAGCCAAATCTATCGGGACGTCATTCTGGAACAACATGTACGTTTGTTTTGGGGCGCCATGGGCGCGCAATTTGTGTTTATGGATGACAA